GAGTTTTGTACGCTTGCTGGTTGAACAGTCAGAAATAATAGACAAATTAAACAGGATGCAGTTGTGATCAGTGACGGGCAGCTCCTCAGAGACGATACAATCAATGTCCAAACCAAGTGTTAAAACAAGGTCCAGCGTGTTTCCCTTAATGTGTGTCGGGCCATTGACATGTTGCACAAAATGAAAAGATTCGGTGAGATTTATAAAATTATTAGCAAAGGAGTTTGTGGTGTCATTTACAGGCACATTAAAATCCCCAAGCATTAAAATTCTTTGCAATTTAGTGATGGAAGCCAAAAAGTCACTGAATTCAGCCAGAAAGGCGCCATTAATACCAGGAGAGCGATAAATTAAAATACAATAAAATGGGTTAGAGCGGCCAACTTTAGAAATTAGCAGTTCAAATGAGGTAAAAGTTCCACAATTCACTCTCCTCGAGGAGAAACTGTCTTTGTACAATAAAGCAAGGCCACCGTCGCAGCCAGTGGTCCTTGGGGCACATATGAATGCGCAATTGGGCAGGCATAACTCCTTCATGGACACATAATCTTCATCCCTTTGCCAGGTCTCGGTGAAAAACATGAAATCTAAATCTCTAGCGATGAAAAAATCATTCGGAGTGAATGATTTCTTATTGATTGAGCGAGCATTTAACAATGCCAGCTTGAGAGACTTGGGACCAGCTTTGCAGACAGATGATTGTGACAGTGGTTGCAGATACCGGAAGTTGTGGGTTGTGTGGTTTTGACGTTTGTGATGTCAGTTGTTCATTACTACGGGTATGAAGGTGGGAGTTTGTGGGACAGTAGAGACCAGCCCAGTAGTTGGGGCAATAGGAAAGCAGGAGGGATTGTCTGTAGAGGTTAGTGGCAGCTGGAGCCTGTAGGGGGAGCTACAGGAGGCAATGTCTAAAGAATGCTCCGAAGAAGAAGAGGCAGGCACTGAGAAGGGGGTGTGGCACGTAAACAGTCACGCATGTGTGAGTGGCGTTGTGTGTACGGTATGCTGTATGTTGGCTGCTAACATGCGGCTTCCTAGCTAAACCCTCAACCCTCTGTTGCTCCAGAGTTAAATCTGAACCAGCAATTTTAGTGCCGCTGCTGTTGAAAAAACACATATATGACCTTTGTCATGTGGCTGCCTTTGAACTCTTTTCCCGCACACAGAGTGCCTGAAGAGTTTCTCCTCTTTGGGGATTCTCATGTGTGTTACAGCGTGGTCACTGTGTATGAATTGCACAGTAGAATGAAATTAAGTTTCTGTGAGCACTGCAGTCTGTCGATTGGTCAATCGCAGATGGTCACTCTGCTCAGGGCTGAGTTGTGGCTGGTTTTGTAACCACTGTTCAAACCATGGCAAGTCTTGCATACATTATTTTAAGCGAAATAGCTGCAGTAAGAGGGAAACAACCATTGACTTAAAAGAACCACAAAGACACAAAATTACCACAAAGAAAAGCGAAATGACTACAAAGAGGGGAAATGATGACTGACTCAAAACAACTACAAAGAGACACAAAAGAACTACAAAGAGACACAAAATAACCAGAGACACAAAAGAACTACAAAGAGACACAAAATTACCACAAGAAACACAAAACTACAGACAGGTTGGTTTGGACCACAAAAAGAGGCTAAACTACCACAAAAAGTGTCCTGTGTATGAGAGGTGGTGGGTCCTTTTGCATGCCTGTGCCCAGGGACCCATTGTCTTATAATCCGTCCATAGCTCTTGTGATGGTATTAAGAAACAGAGCTACAAGGAATCATCAGTTGGCTGCTTTTTGAATCAAAAAACACAACTTCTGCTGACCTTGAGTTAAGATATTTTTATAGCAAGCTGAAGTCACTAAGAACACACCTTTTTGAGTTCAGCCAAGTGCGTGTCCCTGCAAACACATGTCTGCTCCAAGTCCGTCTTTTCCTTTTGTAACAACCTTTGCAGCTCCTCCAACTCACCCTGAGGACAGCCCAAATATCCCACTGCATCAGCACACTGCCACCTCAGTAAACTCTGTACAACAATGATTGTAATCAAGCAGCAGCCAGTGAGGAAGCCCAAATTACCTGCAGGTCTTTCATGAGTTTGGGTTGAAATCAAACAGTGTGTTTTGCTGATCATCTTGATCTCTACTCTGCCTGAAAATGAGATACTGTTTGATAAAGACAGGCAGAGAAATAATTCTTATACCTCTATATTCTGCTGTGGTTCCTCGCAATCCTCCTTTGAATCTTCATTAGAAAAATCCAGGTGTTTGGTGACAGACATCAAAGGAGGACTCCTGTGGAGCTGTTGACCAAATGGGGTAAAATTCCCCAAATGTCTCTCACAGTTAAACATCTGTCCGACATGTCTGAGGTTCTCTTGAGCAAAAAGCTGCAACACAGAGCTTTAATACAAATCTCCTGCTGATTCTTTCCTCCACACTCACTTTAGTTCACACAGGTGGAGTGGCTGTGCTTTGAAAAATCCCTAAATGATTGTTTTCACCTGTGGGACAAAATAAGCATCCTCCTTTTGACCACTAGATGGCGACAGATCCCTTTAAAACACAGGTAAGAGTTGTTTTTACTTTAGATAACATATTGCTCATGTTATATTCTCCCTTCACATTCAACATACTTTAAATCCTTTTTCTTTTGCAAAATAAAAGCCACAATTTCCCAAAACATTAAACCCCACCTTTTAAGTTTTTAACAGGTGAAAATGAATAATGAGCTTTTGTTATTTTCATGGGGTATATATCACACTATTACCAGTACTTCTACTACTGCTACACTGCTGCAACTAAAAGTGGTGTATGGTAGTTAACAGTGCACAATATTGTGGCCGACTGTAGCGAGATCAGCGATTCGATCCCCGGCCCCTCAAGTCCACACTTCCGATGGTTGTTCCATCAGTGTGCGTAAGTGGTTACTGAGTAGCAGGTGGCACCATGTATGGTAGCCACGGCCACCAGTTTGTGACTGTGTGTGTGAATGGGTGAATGTGACATATAGAATAAAACCACTTTCAGTGGTCTGAAGACGAGGCAAGTCCATTTACCACACACAGGCAACCATAAACACCACTGGCAACTGCTTATAAAAAAGCACAAGGACTTTAATTCAGGGAGCTTTTCCAGATTTTCCTCCTGTTCAGCCCTCTCTTGTCCTTTTTTACTGCAGCTTTTATCTTACAAAGGCATGACTGCTTAGTGGACTTGTAGATGTGCTCAGCTTGTCAGTCTTGACAGATTTTGCACCTAAACTAGAAACTGTAAATTGTATCAACTTGTCACATGACCAAATAGAGACTTGACACTAGGCAACATCAACATACATGTTACTCAACAATCATCATTGCATGCCTGTACATGACAAAAGTATGAAAGAAACAAGAAATTATTCATTTAATTGAATCATTTTTAAATACATATAGTTTATTCATGTTTTTTTGGGTTCATGTAGAATCAGCATATCATTTTGTTGTAGATTATAGACTATTTTACAAAAAGGAAAGAAAAGAAAAAAAGAAAATTATGACAGATGTGTTGGCATGTTTCAGGTCAAATAGCCTGTAGCATATGGCACCATTATTGATGTAATGGGATTTTTTTTTTTTTCTTTAGAAACACAGCTGTAGTTCCGAAGCGGAAATCTGAATCATTTGCAAGGTCCCACCACCCAACAGGCTCCAGTGCAACCGCACTACCAGTACTGTCTTTATTTAAACCCCTGGCTGCTGCTGCTTTTACAGTAGGGAGGAAGGAATTATTTCTTTTTAAAAATCATGAAGACTTCCGCCTGTGCTGCGTTCCTGAACCTGTAAAATCCTCTGAATTTAGAGAGGGGACACAGAGGAGACAAAAAATTTCTTCACCACATGAAAAAAAAGGATCACCAGTGTAAATGAACACTTTGTTAAGAGTATTTTCAACACCTAACCATGCTGTCAGACAGTCCCTTACAATGGCAAACCGATACAGTTAGATGATGCTCTCCTAAAAGCTACCAGACTCCACTGACAGAATCTGTAATTTTACCTCACAGAACACAATGAGTCTTCAGCTGCCCTTCGATTGGACAGTTAGTTTGTGTTGTTGTGTGACTTTTGGAAGCGACCTAACCATGCCAGTTCTCTTGTCTGCCTGTCCAAACTGGGAGTGTAAAGCTGATAACACAATTCCAAATGAAGGCTGAGTCATGAAGGTTGTTCAGTGGCGTCCCCTCTGATGTGCCTGTCCGCATCAGCCCACGGCCCAGCCCTTGACTGCACAGTGCTGCTGCACATAAGATGAGCGAAGGAAAGATTGGAGAGACTATGCAGAGGAGCTGTGGACTGTAAAAACTGAGCATCTCTGACAGACAAATCTTTTTACCCCACACTGAGTAACTTAATTGTTTTTGGTTAGTATTGAGTGTCACATGACTGACTGACAGAGGTTCTCTGGTCTCCTTCCAACTATTATCACTGTCATCAGTCACAGGTTTAGAAGAGTCTTCCATCTTATCATCAGTCTCAGGTTGAAAATGTGTATCTGGCTGATTCTGGTCCTCCACAGTCCTCTCTGCTAACTCCTGGTTCCATCAGATGATGATGTCGACCAAATCTATTCTCACATTCAGAGCAACTAAATGGTTTCTCCCCTGTATGAGATCTCATGTGTACCCTCAGAACTCCACTTTGACTAAAGCATTTCCCACACTAAGAACAATTAAATGGTTTCTCTCCTGTATGAGATCTCATGTGTTTGTTCAGATTTCCACTGCAACCGAATCTTTTCCCACACTCAGAGCAACTAAATGGTTTCTCTCCTGTATGAGATCTCATGTGTCTCTTCAGATCTCCATTGCGACCAAATCTTTTCCCACACTCAGAGCAACTAAATGGTTTCTCTCCAGTATGAGATCTCATGTGAGTCCTCAGATGTCCCTTCTGACCAAATCTTTTCCCACACTCAGAGCAGTCAAATGGTTTCTCTCCTGTATGACATCTCATGTGTATCTTCACAACTCCACTTTGACTAAATCTTTTCCCACACTCAGAGCAACTAAATGGTTTTTCACCTGTATGCGATCTCATGTGTGCCCTCAGAACTCCACTTAGACTAAATCTTTTCCCACACTCAGAGCAAGTAAATGGTTTCTCTCCAGTATGCGATCTCATGTGAGTCCTCAGATGTCCCTTCTGACTAAATCTTTTCCCACACTCAGAGCAGTCAAATGGTTTCTCTCCTGTATGACATCTCATGTGTATCTTCACAACTCCACTTTGACTAAATCTTTTCCCACACTCAGAG